TAAGTTGGATTACATAGCGTCAGGTAGAGCTCAGAAGTCCAGTTGGTTTATTTCATTTGACTTGCATAGCTAGCAATTTTGTTCTCCTTGCAGCAAGGGTAACAGTTTTGTGCCACATTCATTTTACATACGCAGTGCTTTTCAGCATTGTGCTCGCACACCTCATAAGCTGCTTAGTTAGCTACGTCAGCTGAGTACAGCACCGCCTTTCTTCAGGAGCGTCGACATTTTTAACTCCAGACTCCTTTCTGCGGGTGGGTCACCAGCGCTAATTGAGTAGCAGTCGTCTCCAGGTAGCACATCTGTACTGCGGTTATTGGTTATTGGTGTTACGTATGCTTGCAGCTCTACTTTGTACGTGCACTGTAGATACTGAGGGAAAATGAAAGTAAGTTCACTTCTAATAATTCTGGGTAAAATTAAAAGGGTTTGATGTATTTTTGCTTCAGCTAAACATGTCCATAGCTTCCTCTCTGCCCACAAATCGGTATGACCACTGTACAAATAACAGCTAGTTCTCCATATTGCCTGTTTTCCCTCTTTTAAATCCACCTGTGATCTACTTATGTGCTTGCTGAAGTTCGAAGAAATCTTTGCATTGATTTCAGAACAAGCAGAATTATTTCCTTGAATATAAAGTCTTCTTCTCAGAGTGCGAATCATCTTGTGTATCTCTGTGAAGTTTTGTGTTTCTGTAGAAGTGATAAATCATGCAGAATGCCTAATCACTGGCTTCTCTAAGTTCCCTCCAGTTGGTGTGACTGATTTGTTTATGTGTCCTCTTTGCCAGACCAGTGAATTCCTCCCCACCTCGTGCTGTCCCAGTGTGACCCTCAGCACAATTAATGTTGACAACTACCATCATGTTGTCTGTTTTTCTGTGTGTTGTTTAGGTGCATTCCATCCTACAGCAGTGTGGCTGGGCATGAAATCATGATGAAATTATAGCTAATATAAAAGATGACAGTCTGTCTCCTTAGCAACTGGGCCAGTGTGTGCACGTAACCAGCTCATGCTGAAGTGAAAGACTTGGTGCTTATTCCCATGGTGTTTACTGGCAAATCTTAAGATTAACGTCACCCCCTGAAGCTTTGGCATGAACATAGTATTTGCAGCAAAGCGAACTACCTCTTCTTTTTTGCTCGTACAAGCAGGGGAGGATTTTGCTGGGTATGAAGTAGGTAGAGATGTGATGATGTCTTTGCACAAGGTAGAGAAAGGAAGTTGAATTGTCTTCAGTTTCAGATAATTTCTTCTGGGCTCTCTGTCTTCATGCCCCACTGGGCAGAACAGGCATCAGCAGTGCTGAGAGGTACTCTCAGCTCCAGAACTCTAACTGAAAAGGACAGATGTTTCCAAAAAATAAGTATCTGTGAGTTTCCGATAGAGACAGGAACATAACAAAAGATAAGTCAATGGCATTTTTCCTTTTTCTGTTTGGCTTTTAGAGATTTTTGCTCTGCAGGGAGTTGCATTCATTTTCAAGGCAAAACAGGACTGTGGCATTCCCAAGGACTTAGCTTGTAAACTATGACTGAGAGAACTCTTTCTTTTTCAGATTTCAAGGTAGAGTGTTGTCTACTAGCCAACATATAAAGCAAACTGCCAATGTGCACCTTTCATCAAGGAAAAAGCTGTAAAATTTGATTCTTCCTTTAAAAACTAAAATTAGTGACATTTGTGTTTCTCCAAATGGTGCATAAGTTGATAAGATTCTAATAATAAATCTCACAGTAATTGAAAACTTGTTTCAAACCAACGTGATCATTGAATTCATACACATGCTGCATACTTGGTGTCAGAAGAGCAGTTCATTTTTTGTGTTTTCTGTGAGGCTGATCTCGCTATAGGCAAGCTAACTGTCTAAAACATGCTGGTTGCATGGTCCACTGGCTGAATTTTTGTAAACAAAGAGAATGCAGATTAAGGGGAGTATTTTTCTAGAAGAATCACTGATATTAGAATGGAGGAGAATCTGATAGTCCTTAATTCCCCTGTGTTAGAGTGCCAGTATTTTGCCATAGTGTCATTTACTGCCATGTACCATATTTACTGGAGGTGTAGCTGTTAGTTGTGGAGCAGAAGACATACCACGATGCATTACACATTCCTTTCTCTTTGTTTGATAGGTAATACATTGTGAAGTGGAGAAAAGCTCAAAGACTTTTTCTTTTTGAAAACCACCATTGCACTTCACTTTCTTTTCCCCATCTGAGTGCAAAGCCCTCTGATGCTCATATTGTTTTAGTGTAGCTTGTTAAACTCTCTAAGACTAAGATACATAGCAAGTTTTGCCATTGCCCTGAGGTTAGAAGCAATTGTGATGTGCTTATAGAGGAAAAAGTGGTGGTGTCTTTAAATGTGGGAGACCATCTATGTTTGTGGCACTACTGACAAAGTCCAATGTGACCTTGAGCAGGTTCTTCTTTTCCTTCCCTTAAAAACGAAAATATATTCCTCTGCATCACGAAGTTCCAAGAACAAATAGACAAGTATTTGCAAAGGACTCAGCACCCTGATGAGAACTAGGCAACTTCTGAGGTAGTTACTTCCAGAAGATGGGCTCTAGCAACTTTTTAACAAAGCAGACAAATATTTTTCATGTGTTAGAAAAGGAAGGAGAACACAGTGCATTTAATTAGTCACATATGGATAAGCTACTTGCAGCCTCTGAGTCATGGCCTTGGAAGTTAACTTGTATGATTTTTTTTTTTTTGAGGGAGGGGGGAGAACTATATAAAGAAAAAAAATAAATCAAGAAATACAGGCTTCCCTTTCAATCTCTGAGCAAAACTACAACAAAGGAAACTCCAGCCAACACCAAGTATGACCTCTTTAGAATGTACTATTTAAGTATCTCTGATGGATCTCCGCACTGACTTTCTTACAAGTTTTTACATCAAATTTGATTTCTTTCCTTCTCTCTAAGGCATGGTCTAAGGAAATGAAATTATCATATAGGCCTCTGAAATAAGGGTGATGATTTAAAGCACTCTGCTTGAGTTGCATAGAATCTATCTACTGCACAGTAAAACTCATCTTTTTCAAGAGGCAGAGGGATCTCTGGGATGAGATCAAGGCTATAATGAACTCTTTGAAGAACTGAGAAGTATTTCAGAGCTTTTACTTAAGACATTCGGTTGAAGAGAAGTGAGATGGGAAAATGATCCTCGTGTGACAACTTCGAAAAACACCACATTAGCTAACAAAACTCTGCCTCTTCAATTTCTAGAAAAAAAAAGCCCTGTGAACCCTCTTTTGCTGTGCTTACTTTTGCTTTTCCCCATTCTGTTTGTTTGGTAGTTGATGTGTAGGGGTATGTGTATGTATGTTTTTCTCAGGTGGTTTGCAGACATTTTTCTGACTACTTTATCATGTCTTACAGATCATCTGTGTTCCTCAGACAATAGTTGAGAAACACTTGTCTAATACTCTATCAGAAAATTCTTTGACATTACAGCAATAAAGGAGGAATACCACTGTCAGTAGGATATGAAAAGAAATTTTTTGGCATACTAACCTGGAAAAATTGAGGAGGAAGAGAGAGATCTCAACACTTGTCAAAATGTTGACAGAAAATTCAGGAAAAGTCTTAATTTTTCTGGATTGATTTACTCTAGGAAAAGAACTGAACTATTAGTATATAGCAAAGGGCTTAATAATGTCTAAATTTACTGCCAAAAAAACCCCAAACCAACATTTCAGTATTATTTTAACTAGTATGTTCAACACCCCTGATTTCTGATAAAATAAATTGTGAGTGCTGTATGATAGGGTCATGAGACCTGGAGTAAGAGATGGACAGGTCCTGTGGGCCTGTTGGATAGAATCTCTGCCAGAGGCAGGAGTGTCTCTGTCGGGTGCAGCTTAAGGAGAAAGTAACCAAAGAGGTTAAGCTGGAATCAGCAGCTTCTCCAGGACAGGTTTTCTTACAGCAGGCTGTGAGCGATGCTCTGCCAGCAGCTACCTGGGGTGCTGAGTTGCATGTTGGCGTCTCTGCAGAGCATTGTCCCAAATTAAAGCCCTAACACAAGAACTCAGAAGTAATACAGAAGTAAAAAAAAAAAAAAAAGCATCTTCTAGCACATTGATACAGCCACCATAGTACATGCTGTCAGAAGTTCTGTTTGTCTTAAGAACAAATCAGTAACAATACTTAAAACTATGAGAAAAATTATGGAAGCTGACACTAGCAATATGTGGGGATCTGACAGATTTTCAAAGCAGTCGGTCTAACTGATGAGATCTGGGAAGACAAACTTGAGACTCCAAATCATGATAGAATAAAAGGCAGTGAAGCTGTGATTTTTGTCTCATCTCTTTGCAAAGATAAGGGCTAAATTTAGACTTTAGTTTGAATCTCACGTTTAGATGCAGAATTGTTTCCAGCTTTTATGATTAGCTTATGATTAGAATGCAAACAGTGGGTTAGCTGGAAGTGTGCATCAGGTTCGTGACGTAAAACAGTTCAGATGTCCAAGGGGAGATTCCTCTTAATTTCAGGGTTTTTTAGGTAAGGTACGTGGTATGTTAATTAATGTCTACTCAAATCTAGTAGAGACAAACTTAAAAAAAAAAAATAATGGCAGAAATGACTGCTGGAATATTCTTATTTAAAAAACAGCTGCACAAATTGGTCTGTCCTCATGAATAGTCATAGAAGTTAATAACATCAATAGGGTTCCTTGCTATTGTAATAGCTTTCTGTAAGAAGTGCTTTCAAAAACAGAATTTAGTAGAATGATGTTCTTTGCGTAGATATTTGAAGCATCCCATGAAGCTTAATGTATTTTTAAAAAGAGGGAGATTGTTTTTGAAGAAAATAATCCTAAGAGTAGTTCTAATTTCGTTTTTCCTAACTGCAATATACAGGTAAAGATGCAGATTTGAAAGCTACATAGGATTTTAGACATGACTCAAAAAGTACTTTCATGTTGCACTAGGATGGCACAAATTATACATTAGGTTAAAGCATTGTTTTCTCCGCTTTTTTCTGATAGGTCATTGCTTGTGAACAACAGTATGACTACTCGTATGATGCTCGATGTGATGTATGGTCCTTGGGAATAACAGCTATTGAACTGGGAGATGGAGACCCTCCTTTATTTGACATGCATCCGGTGAAAACTCTTTTTAAAATTCCCAGGTATGGCACTAGATGGCTGTCTTCACTCACTAGTCTGTTCAAAGGCACTGTAGTCAAATGAGAAAGAAATATTTGGTAAACATTTGCGCTTCAAATCTTAAGAATCTCTTATAGGAAAAGACATTAAAAAGCTGTAATGTTAAATACTTTTTTTTTTCAGCCTGACTTCTGCAATAATTTATGTTGCCTTGAAATGAAAAAGGCTTATGTACTTATTTTGTTCTTATCTGAGAATATAAAATCATATAATATCAAGGTATCTCCCTTCTAAAGCACTTTTTTTAGTTACTATTGATGAAAACACTTGTTTCAAAAGAGGAAGAAGCTAATGTGAATAACATTTTTAAATGTTATCCACCTAGAGTCTTAGGCTTGTTTTACTGTGGAAGAAAACCTCACCATTTTGACAATGCTATGAAGCAGCCTGGCAGTTTCAGCAAACTGTAGTAATAATTTAATTTTTAATTCACCCAAGGATGTTAAAACGTGAAGATTTGGGTTGTCATATGTGGATGTGAAAACGGGATAGAAATTCCTTCATTGTATGGTCATGTAAATTAGCTGTGTTATTTCGTGCTGGCCATTTTTGGTTTCATTTTGTTTTCATTTTGTTGAGTCTTCCTGAATAAGTGAAGAGGAGATTGACAGTGTAAAATAGAGTTTAATAGCAGAACAGTTGTAGTAATAGAAGAAATATAGAAAGAAGTTGTCCGTTGTCCGTCATCGATTAGACTGGCATATACTTGTCTTTTCCATGTTTTGCTCATAAAGAATCGCCACTGACCGATAACAGTTTAAAATCTTCAGCAATACGAGTGTTTGACCTTTTGTTATCTGCACAGTTATCATAGGCTTTTAAAATTTCTTCTGATTGCAATTTGCATTTCTGATTAACTCTATTTATATGCAGATGCAGTTGTGCTGGGTTCTGCGTCATATAGTTATCTCCTTCTACCCAGCTCAGACATGAACTGCCACCACTCTTCCCAAAATTATTCCTACTGGAGCAGCGGTTCATCTTGTTGCCTTTGCACAAGTGTAAAACAGATCCTGGCAATTAAGTCAGCAAGGGAGGCTTCAGATACTAAAGCAATATCTAGAAATTTTATCAATGCTCAAAACAGTTGAAAAGGAGAGAAGTCATACCAGACAACAGTAAGCAATAGGAAGATACATAGAATAGGGCATGTAGAGGCTTTGATTTCTATCTATAGTTTACCT